ATAAAACAATATGCCCAAGGTAAGGATGCACGTGGCAGCAAAATCTAATTTATATATGCGACTATACATACACCTAAAGGTATTTTCGTCCACACGGTGCCGTTAGATATATATAATTTAAAAAGAATTTTCTGATAGGGAGTCGCTGTTTTATTGTCGAGGGAAGGGAGGGTTGTTTGGGAGTTACTTTTATTTTCTTTTTGTCAAAGTCACCACATTATATGAATCTTGTCTTTGTCAAAGAAGACGGTCTCTTTAATGTGGTCGATCAGAGAAACATTGAAAGCGAACTATTTTGTTTCCAATTCTTTCATTCAGTTTGGTATTTTATTTTATTTCATCTCAGATTATGGTACATGTTTTATGGTCATGTCAGGTTTTCAAAGCTGTTTTTTTTTGTTGTACGGAATCAATGAATCAGACTTCTTTAATATGCTCGTTTTCCTACTGAAATAAAATAAATTTGTATGTATTTGCTCTGGCGCAAGCTGTGATTGTACACGTATTTTATACACATTTTTTTCTATTTGGCATGGAGCAATAGGGACTCAATATAAAATATGCAGCATTTGTTCAAAAAGAGGGACGTATTGAATTGCCAACTTCCTTTTAATGTTAGAAAGGCTTTTCAAGTTCTCAAACCCTTAAAATATTTTTGGGCCTGGAACTGTATATCTCACAGAATTCAGTATAAGAATAAACATTTTTGAGCAAAGAAAAACATCGGTATTTTTAAATTCTTACCAATCTTAGAAATACAGACATATTAAACATCTGTCCAGCAGTGACTTACACGTAGATTCAAGCATTTTTTAAGATTTTGAAGGTTTCTTTTCTTTTCAGTGTTCATACCTTTTTTCTAGGAAAGGATTACATCTAGATGAAGTTTGAAATTCGTCATTCACTCACAACTGCATTTTATAAAATAAATACAAGTACAAATTTAACACCTTATGGAATGAAATTAAAAAATTACTAAAACATCCTATTTATTACATTATCATAGTAAACATTTTAAGGTTATCTTTTTACTTATATGAATTACTTATTTATGTTTATTTGACATTTTCAATTGAAAATATGTGAAGTATTAGCATTTTCGTAACCATAGAGATGCGTTTAATACAGGGATAGTTTTGTCTGTTCAATAACACCTAATTTGCACAAAATCACCAATTCAGGTAAGTGAATATTATCTAATGCAGAAAGTTAAATTATTCTCAAAACATAAAATTATTAAAAAGATTTAAAAGACTATTTGTCAAATATGACTAGATCTTAAGGGCCATTAATTACAGAAGTCTACAAGACAATACATACTGATTGTAGATACGTTTAGGCGACCTTGGATTATATGTTTTTATTATTTTAAATAAATGCAAGAAATAATTAATAGCAAACATGGCAGTAATTGGAAACATGATTTCTATTTACGTCATAATAGGTTTAGGATATTTAAACCGGGTTAAAGGTCATGGTCATTAAAAACCCTATATCACAATGGCAAAACCAAGTTTGATTAAAGTGATACAACAAAAGTGTTCTCTTGGAACTAATTAACTAAAATAATAACCTTATTTAAGACTTTATTATCTAGCAATGACAAAAATGCAAACACATTTGTAATTATGGAATAAGGTCTGACGAACCGTTACAGTAAACCAGTATTTACCACTCAGTGGATCAGTTGTCTCATTTGTTTACATTCATGTGAAATTGAAGTTTAAGTTCTTACAAATCCTATATTGTGGCATGGCTTTCATCCCCAATGTCTCTTTGAACGGTTACATTTATGCTAGGCATTGTTAACAACATCTTAAGATATATGCAATTGACTATACGAGCAATGTCTGATTATTGTTAAAATATTCATCGCTTTTCTATTTTATATACATTTCCACCCTGGGTCACGCGGCTCATCGGTGTTTCACAACTCCTAAATTCACTAAATTATTGCGCATATTACATTATAATGCCAGTAACAAATTTATATTATGTCGCAGATAATCTAGTTTCTTTATTTCATCCAGACATTTGCCGAATCCTTTCGGTATGTGGCCTTTGTGGTTAGCGAGTAACTGCCTCGCTTGGAGGTCAGCTTTGCGAGATAAGTGACTGGGCGGGACAAGATGCCACAAGTGTGTGGGATGATGCCACAAGTGTGTGGGATGATGCCACATGTGTGTAAGGTGATGCCACATGTGTGTAAGGTGATGCCACATGTGTGTGGGATGATGCACATGTGTGTGGGATGATGCCCCATGTGTGTGGGATGATGCCACAAGTGTGTGGGATGATGCCACATGTGTGTAAGGTGATGCCCCATGTGTGTGGGATGATGCCACATGTGTGTGGGGGTGATGCCCCATGTGTGTGGGATGATGCCACATGCGTGTGGAATGATGCCACATGCGTGTGGGATGATGCCCCATGTGTGTGGGGGGGTGATGCCACATGTGTGTGGGATGATGCCCCATGTGTGTGGGATGATGCCCCATGTGTGTGGGATGATGCCACATGTGTGTAAGGTGATGCCCCATGTGTGTGGGATGATGCCACATGTGTGGGGGTGATGCCCCATGTGTGTGGGATGATGCCACATGCGTGTGGGGGGTGATGCCCCATGTGTGTGGGATGATACCACATGTGTGTGGGATGATGCTCCAAAGCTAAACAGCACTGTAAACTACTAACTGTCGACATCATAGCGATATGGCTGACAATTTTTTTAAGCTATCATAAAAATCCAAATCACACACACCCATATGACCTGATATGAAATGTATCACTGTACATCCTTTTTTGTTACACAACATTGAACATTTATCATACTTTACTTTGTACGGTGCTTTTTAATGGCTTGATTTCTAATGTAGTTTATAATTCTCTGTGCCTTCGTGTTGAAATGTATAGGTTACCTCCCCTAAACCATGTCTGACGTTTGGAATGGTAATTGTATTTTTTGATTTTTAGATTACAGTTAGAAAGTGTGTGAACAGTCTTGTCTCTCTTATGAGCGATATCTTGGTTAAATATTTTTTTCAATTATAATTCAAAAGTTTGCTTCTGTTTATAGTCGTTTTAGTTGTTGCTGTTGTTATTGTTCATTCATTTGGCTCACATTTCTCTCACATTAGCTCACTTTTAGTAAGATTGAATATTGATGAATTTCTCTTGTTTGGAGTACCCATGTATGCAGATCAACCAATAAATCTTTGTTTTTAGTCAGTGTTAGGAACTTGTTAACCTAAATTCTTTCTGGGTATCAAGGCCTGAATGGTTTCAGCAAATGTTCTAAATAGTATATACTTTCGTTTGTTAGATATCGATAAGCGATAAGTCCACTGTGTTCAAAAGAAATATATCATCGGTTGTAAACATAGAAAAGGAGTTTGCTACCGTTAACACAAATATAACAAACACACACACACACACACACATATATATATATATATATATATATATATATATATATATATATATATATATATATATATATATATATATATATATATATATATAGATGCAATAAACTGACGACGAACAGTACGAAACTAGTAACTAACTAGCCTAAGCGCTTTCGACTCTTAATAAGTCTTTTTCAAAGGCAAATACAAAACATATATACGATAAACAAATAAACACAAAAACGTTGTTTGTAAACTTCTACATGGCTGTCTTCACATGTGCTAAAGCTATAAATACAACCAGCTTGTATAGATTAGATGCGGAAACTGAAAACGTATAATTCCCTAAAAGTCTACAAGCCAAAGCGACATCTATTTTTACTTTTTGTACATATGTAACGCAGATTATATCCCGGATATTTGATTCTATACAGGTTATTCTTATAGTAAAAATTGAAGGATAATAAGAAGATTTAGAAAATGTTAGATTTTACTAGTGAATAGTTTTCATTTTTTAGTCTTCTTTAGTTTTCATTTTTTAGTCTTCTTAAGTCTTTAGTCTTAACATTTTCTAAATCTTCTTATTATCCTTCAATTTTTACTATAAGAAAAACCGGTATAGAATCAAATATCCGGAATATAATCTGCGTTACATATGTACAAAAAGTAAAAATAGATGTCGCTTTGGCTTGTAGACTTTTAGGGAATTATACAACGTTTTCAGTTTCCGCATCTAGTCTATACAAGCTGGTTGTATTTATAGCTTTAGCATATGTGAAGACAGCCATGTAGAGGTTTACAAACACAACGTTTTTGTTTATCGTATATATGTTTTGTATTTGCCTTTGAAAAAGACTCATTAAGAGTCGAAAGCGCTTAGGCTAGTTAGTTACTAGTTTCGTACTGTTCGTCGTCAGTTTATTGCATCTATTTTAATTAATCCCTGACACACGTGATCCCTTGGTGGATCCAGTACGCTTGAAAGGGTTGTTATTCGCCATATGATTTGTATTCTATATATATATATATATATATATATATATATATATATATATATATATATATATATATATATATATATATATATATATATATATATATATATATATATAATGAAAATCAGCACTTTTTCATCAGTTAGTAACAGCTTATACATATTAATCTATCTGATTGTCGCTTATTTTCTCTTTTCGCAAATGCAGCAATATATCACGTGGATAACAGCCTTCGTGTATTAACAAAAATCATGTCTTTATAAATGTTGAAAAATATTCCTTTCGTTCTTTTCATTTGCTATGATATCATAACTTCATTTTTGTACAATCACTAGATAACATGACATCGCTAATAGCAACATAAACAACACTGTCAAGTTATAAAAAGGAATGATTTCTTCAATTTGCTTTCAACAACAATTCAGAGGAATAAAATTAAAGTGGAAGTAATAGTGCAAGTCATCATTGATTGTTTCAAACACTGAGTATTTTTTCGTCATTTTGTAAGACTCGGTTTTTCGTACATCTAACCGGATATTTGTAAGTTAGAAACTTTCCAATTTGTAAAGTATCACTATAGTTGCCTTCGCGTTATACCGCTACGGTGGCCCAGTAGTTAGAGCGTCCGCCTCGGATGCGGAAGGTCGTGGGTTCGATCCCAGACGATTCATACCAAAGACTTACAAAACTGGTACTAACAGCTGCCTCGAATGTCGCTCAGCATCAAGAGATTATTGTTAGGAATGGTCGGCCTGGTGTCAGGGTAATGTGACTAGGTGGGACATCATGCTAAATGTCTGCGGCATGATATTCCAGTGCTAGACATCACTATGAACTGTCACTTTGCAAACATAGTAGTGATATAACCGAAAAATTGTTAAAGCTACGTTAACAATCTAAATCACAAACAGATGAGAGAGAGAGAGAGAGAGAGAGAGAGAGAGAGAGAGAGAGAGAGAGAGAGAGAGAGAGAGAGAGAGAGAGAACGGTGGAGTTATTCGATTCTAATCGGAAAGAGTCGAGATTGTTCAGAATGATTTTTTATCCAGAGTGGAATAAAATGAATTGAATTGAATTACAATATGTTATCTCTAAAGTCAACCCCAGTTTCAACAAATCTTCCACATTTTCAACTTGAATTGTACATATATAGAGAGAGAAATTCACTCAAATGGTTATGTCTCTTCATAAAAATAGGATGGGAAATACAGTTAAATGGTGTAGTAAAAGCATTAAAATAGTAGTATATTTCAATACACAAACAATTGTATACATACATACATACATACATACATACATACATACATACATACATACATACATACATACATACATACATACATACATACATACATAAAGCATTAAAATAGTAGTATATTTCAATACACAAACAATTGTATACATACATACATACATACATACATACATACATACATACATACATACATACATACATACATACATACATACATACATACATACATGCATGCATGCATGCATGCTTGCTTGCTTGCTTGCTTGCTTGCTTACTTACTTACTTACTTACTTACTTACTTACTTACTTACTTACTTACTTACCTGCGATTATATAAATAGCTATTTTACTCCGCTTCATTGTCAGCCCATAAACATGAGCTTAGTTGCAGGCACGTACGACATTACATGGATTAGTTTTATGCAGAGGTTTATTATTACGGACGTTACCTTGTATGTTGTTTTCTTTAATTAGTTCTTATATATCTAAAACGACAGACCTAAAATATAAAGACATACATATTTTATTTTTGTACTTATATTAGGATTGATTAAAACCTGAAAATAAATAAAACGTTCAATGCAATGCACAACATATCGTCACCAGTAGACATTATGCGCTGAGCACAAACTACAAAGAATTTTCTTATCATCTTGTAGAAACAACGAAACAATATGTCATTGTTGCAGCCAGTTAAAAATCCAAATAGGTAAATTTGAAGAATACGTGTAAATGTCTTTTTATCACAGAAAGCTGAAAAAAATATGTTTAGCTTATAATTTTTCATAAACTTTAAAAAAGCCAAAGGCATTATTACAGAATTCACTTTCATTGTAGTTTGAAAGGGTTGTGTGTGTATGTGTGTGTGTGTGTGTGTTTTAGATTTTTTAACTTAGCTTTAATAATTGTATTTATATTGCTATGATGTCTACAGTCGGGCACTTTATACGGATGTCCCGCCAAGTCACGTTATCATGACCCTAGACCGACCAGTCCTAACACCAACATCGAAATTTTATTCATATCGCTTATGACTGCAGTGTGACAGGTTATAGTGATGTCTTACACTGGGGCATCATTAGCCTGACACCAATCCTAACACTAACCCCGTAATGCTAAATATTATGTTGTGTAACAATGGGAAATAAAATGTATTTATTAAAATTTATTTTAATTTTATTTTTGTTGCACATTATGTAGCTTGGCATCTTTATTTTTAAACATGTTTATTATGAAAGTTAAAAACCAATTAAATTATTACATGTATACATACAATATTCAAGATTACATTGTACCAATCAACCCCTTGAAATATCTCATAGCAATACATAAATAAAATTTTATATGTATGCCTTTGCAATTATCTGATATACCAATACATACATAAAATGTTATATTTATGCCGTGTAAATTATCTGATATACTCTAATTATCCATACAGCTTTAACAGAAGCGTATAAATATTGTCATACAGTATATTTATGTCATTGCATACGTACGTACGTATATGTTGTTCATAAACCCCTACTACGCTGTTAAGGCAAGAACCATGAACCTTAAATCATAGTTCTGTCGGTTTACATTTTTCGATGATCCATTTAACTAATGCGTTCACATTACCCAGGTATGACAGACAGTATCATCACCGATTGAGCGATATCTGCACAAGGGACACAGGACTTTAATCTTGTAAGGTAAATAAGCTGTACAGAAAGATATTGTGCAATATCACCACTCGATGACACATACCAGTAGTCCATCCCTGTTCAGAAGTCATAGCTATTTATATGCACATTTCTTCAGATAGATCTAATAGTGGTATTGTTCATTGATGTATTAAACTAATCTACGACCATTCAGCGTCAGCTAAGTCTTTCCACTTGCATTATCCGCATATATTAATCTTCAAAAGAAGTATTCGAAATGACCGACATGGTGGAGGAGAAGACGCCTTTGCTAAGTAAACCAAAGGCTGCTGGCAGTAATGGGTCAATTCAAATCGCCGACGACAAAACGTAAGTTAAATATAACACGAGTCATCTTTAAATTTATAGATTATTCTAGTGTCGTAGGCACCATTGGGCCTAGCGTATTCCGGGGTCTAGTCGGTACAGTGGTGTAGATAGGATGTTTGAGTTCCTATGCTAGCCGCTATGCAGAGCTTATCGATGGCCCCTGCCGAATTTACTGTGTAAAAAGTAATAATCCTTCTGCCCCTATGCTTGATTGTAAGTGTTTAACGTCGCTTTTGCACCTTGACTCTTTACGAGTGCTTATAGCCCTTAAAAAGGCTAGAAGCCCTCCCCTACGACGACAGAGCTCTCTGTGCCCCCAGTGCTTGGGCATGGCACCCTAGTGCTTGGGTGTTATCTGAACGCTTGACCAGTTGACCTTTGAAGCTTACTAGAATGCATTGGAGAGAATGCGCCCGTACCAGCCGCACGGAAAGGTAACGCTCGGAAGTCCGCCCCCCCCCCTGGGAGGGGTGGGTAGGGGATGGCTTATTTTTTATTTGCTTATTGGGCTTATGGGACCCACCGGCCGTGCTGCCAGCTAATCCCTTGTGTGATTGGGATGCCATTATCATCGAATATGGCGCGTTGTCCGAATGGGCTTATGTGACCCACTGGCAGTGCCGCCAGCTAATCCCTTAATTATTTTGAGGGGTACCTCATTCCTCGAATATGGCTCTTTGTCCGGAGGGGGTTTATGGGACCCACTGAAAATGCCGCCAGCTAATCCCCTATGTTTTCCACGCTCTTAATATATGGTAGCTACTTCCCTGAGTCAGTAGAAGCAGTAGCACACACACACACACACACACACACACACACACACAAAACGCAAAAAAACCACATAGTGTTAATTTGGCTCTGCATGCACCGACTTAAATTACAAATTGTACGGCCTGACAAATTACAAGAGAGGGAGTGTAAACAGTTATTAATCATCATTCCAGTTCAGTGTTTCATCACACATACACATATGCAGTTTATGAACTCCGTAATGAAATGAACAAAAGGGGGATGGGATATCTGTACAGAGGACTTTTCCCTACTTGATCCTTCAGCTTGCACGAGTTCTCCACACACAACCGCGCAACACGCAACATTTTTGTATTCTCTCTCTCTCTCTCTCTCTCTCTCTCTCTCTCTCTCTCTCTCTCTCTCTCTCTCTCTCGAGAGAGAGAGAGAGAGAGAGAGAGAGAGAGAGAGAGAGAGAGAGAGAGAGAGAGAGAGAGATGTTATAACCACAACAACAACAATTTATTAAATATGTGTATCGTCGTGCTGGTCTTGTTATCGGTCCAGCGTCATTGATATTAATCAAAGTTTGTCAGAATGACAGTTGACCGCGGTTTGGAGGGGTTTGTTTTTTCTTCGGTGTTACGTACCAAGGTACTTCTTGACTGTACCAGCGTACAACGGTTGTTTCCGTGAGTAAGGAATGTACGGAAATTTCCGATAAATCTTGTTACGGAATTAACGGTATTTACAGCATGCTTTTGTTATTGATTTCAAAAAGATTGCCACAATATGTTTAAATTCTATTTTATAAAGCGGTTTCATCTGTAACAAATTAGTGAAAACTATTACAAACATAATTAAAGTTATGATTCTTTAATCACATGTTCGACACGTGTCACCTATGTATGTATTCGTGCTGAAAAAAATGGACTCTTACGAAAAATATCCCAATTTTCGGGAGAAAAAATTCCAGCTAATTAAAAGAAGAAAAGACAAAACTCATGTTATAATTTAATTATTTACTAGTACTGTGTGTGTGATTGTGTTTCTTTTCAATACTTCTAATCATACAGCGATTTTCAGAAGTGCAATTATTGTGTCTGTAATGTTGGTAATTTCTCGTGTCCATTAAATATTGTATTATTTGTTTTGTAAGTTGGTGTCATGTGATTTGCCATCTCTGATAAATATCTTTGCAGGGAGTTGTCACCCCATTCAAATTTTCCACGTTCATCATGCCAGTATTGTAACTGGAAAATAATAGGCGTATGCCAACAGTTCCTATGTTTATCAATAACCACGATAATGTTAAAATCCTGCTTTAGTTACATTCATTAGATAGCAACTTATATATTAAAAACGTACACATAGCAAATTCATTTACTATAATATACTGAAATTTCATTTTCGAAGGGGTGGGGCTGTGATTTTATTTTGAGTTACACGAGAGAGATAACGTTTGCAAATAGGTCACAATATAGGTATTACACGAACTGGAGTCAACTTTGTATGGCTCGCATTTTAGCTGCATCTGGGTCAACGTTGGTTACCGATACCTGCCCACAAATTGTACAAGCAAACAATAAACGCGTTTGTATTGCGCGATTGGGGAGGTTTTCTTGACGATTTCATCTCGAATCTAAGGAAGCCCATCAGCGCCAAGTAAAAAAAAA